AAAAATTTCTGGATAATCAGTATTTACCTTCAAGAGCCCTGATGACACCTTTTAGCTCCTTAAATTTCATTTTCTTTTTGGCTCCCTCCCAACTAAACAAACATCCCACTGAACAATGTATGTACTGAGTGAGTATGTTTTTGACAACTTTGTCAACAGTGTGGCCGCCGATACGAGCCATTTCTTTGACCTTNACAGAGCACAATGCAAAATCAAACTCTATGCATTACAGTTTGCAAAACAAACTACAGAATCATGCTGGCATCACTTACATTCTTGACATAATAGACATTGTCTTTAAGTAATTTTGAGTTTCATTGTATGAGATCAGCGACTGAAGACTTCATTTCTTCAATCTCATCTGGTATGCAGTCAGATCCTTGATGCACCAAGGTAGTATTGAGTTCTCTTGGCCGTCTTACTGCGAGTCTTAGTTTGAGTAGCTCTCTAGCAACAAACTTCCGAAACTCTGAAGAAAAGAAGTAAAAAAATGTTGAAAAATAAATTTATTAGGTAAAGTTATTAACTCCATGACTCTTAGAAGGAGAAAAAAGAAACGGGAAAAAACAAACCTATTTCATTAGTGAAGATTGCAGNATCCACAGATAAGGATAAGTCATTGTTGCTCTCATCCTGGCTGATTTGAAAAGAGGCTGGTGCCTCAAAATTCCGAACTGTAAAGTTCAAAGTTGTCGGAGTTTCAGATGGAGATGTTTCATCAACATTCAATTTGTCTGCATCATTTGAAGCAGGGAATAAAATGAAGTCCTCTACATATTTCACTGATTCAAAACCAGAGTTCAGAGATGCACTTGTTACATTCACGTTATTATCTTCTTTGAAAAAGCCCATGCTTTCTGTTATTGGAACTTCCTTGACTATGTCTTCAAGACCCTGTGCAAGTTTGCCTTTTGGCACACCAGAGAAACTTTGCTCTTTCCCCTCATTTCGCTTACTTGAAGACAAACTTTCTTTGCCCTCTGTATGCAAATAACTACTCTTGTTTACCTCTTGCTTGCTTGAAGATGGACTTTGTTTANCCTCCCAATTCTTAGAAGAACTGTTCTCTTCTTTCTCTTGATTTTCTATAGAAAAACGCTCTTTTCCTGCTTGCTTTTTAGAGGAAGAGCGCTCTTTTCCCT